ATGAGAAGACCTAAGAGGACATTGCACAGTATGAGAGAGGCAGATGAGGAAAAAAAAAAAAAAAAAAAAGAGGAAAGGAAAAAAATGATTCTTTGGGTTTGTGTTGACATCATTATTTGAATAGTGATTACTAATATGAAAATGGTGTTTTAATCAGCTTTTTTTTTTCATCTGTGGCCAAAAGACCTAACAAGAACAATTAAAAGAGAAAAAAGTTTACTTGGAGGCTCACCGTTTTAGAGGTCTTGGTCCAGCGGCTTCATTCTTCAGGGCTCCAGGCTCCAGGTCAGGCCAAACATCAGAGCAGAAGAGTGTGGCAAAGGGAAGCAGGTCAAGACCTCATATCAGGAAGCAGACTCTACTCACCAGACACAAAGAATATACCTCAAAAGCAGGCTCCCAGGGCCCCATGGCCTCCAGCCATATCCTACCTGCTGTCAATTACACCTAGTTAATCCCATCAGGGGATTAATGTACTGATTGGGGGTTAAGGCTTTCATAGCCCAATCATTTTACCTCTGAACCTTCTTGCATTGTCCCACATGTGAGCTTTTCCAGACATCTCATATCTAAAGCATAAAGGAAATCTGGGGAATATGGCAATAGGATAGGACAAGCTTGAGAAGGGAATTCACAAATTCTGTTCTGAGCATAAGTTTGAAATGCCTATTAACTATCAAAAAGATTCATCTGATGAAATATCTGAGTGATGCTGAGAGTCCTGAGCTCAAGAAGTGAAAACTGCAGGTAGGAATTTGAGAGTCTTTGGCTCCCAATGATGTAGGTGGTACTAAAAGTCATGTAACTGGATAAAATGTCGTTGATATGCAGGGTAGACAGAAAAGAAAGCCCCCCCAAAAGTAATTTGTCTCAGATGTTATGGTGGAATAGAATAAATTCCTGCTAACATGATCTGCTTAAGACTGTCACAGTTACCTTATTAAAATGTGATTTGTACTTCTCTGCTCAAAATAGTCAGGAATTCCTAAAAAAAAAAAAAATCAAACATATTTCCCTTAACCTTATTTCTAAGTCCTCCATATACAGGATCAGTGCTTGGCTTTAGGATTCACTGACCACTTTCCATGTGATGGACATTATGAGACAAGATCTGGTGACTACACAGATTAAAACAAAATTTTGTTCTCATCCTTAAAGGGCATACCCAGTTTACATTAACAGTGTATATGTGAATAGGAGACAACAGAACTTTCTAGAAACAACTATCGATACAAAGTGTATAAAGGATGTTAAGATGCAGAGGAGGATGGCTAACTGGAACTAATTCATCACTAAAGTACCAAAAAGAAGACAGGAACAACTCTGCACAGGTGTAATTATTCTGGTTGTTCAAACAAGGATAGGCCTAGAAAAATAAATAAATAAATAAATAAATAAATACAACTAAAAAAGAAAAAGAAAATGTTGGAGGGGTGGTGAGGAAAGGCGTAACCCATAACATGGCACCTCCTGGCCTCTAACTGGTCAATTTCTTTGATGTTTGCAACTTCATTTAACTTTGTTATCCTTTTAAGCACTGGTTATAAAACATTACTATATCAATTTACTGACATGAAACTAAAGAACATTGACACTTAAGTGACATATCTAAAGTTGGCAGCAAATAGGACAATTGTGCCCAAATGCCATATCCATGAAAAACACCTTTTTGAGTACTATATTTCCACAGGCTGGTTGCTGTGCAAGACCTTTTATTTTGATTCTCAACTCTTGTCATCATTTAGCCACCATTTAATCATTTTAATGAAACATTCCTTGAGAGTGCTTCTTAGGGATAGATACATTAAAATCAGATTATTATTATTATCATCATCATCATTTATTTATTTATTGGGATGGAGGGTCTTGCTATGTTGCCCAGGTTGTAAACTTGTGGGTTCTAGTGATTCTCCCTTCTCAGCCTCCAGAGTAGCTGTGTACAGTGGGGCACCACCATGCCTGGCTTATTATTTTTGCCAAGAAATAACAGATCACAAAAAACAATAAAATACTAAACCAATATGATCAGAACAAATGTAGTAGTTTGATAAGGTTATAGTTTGCCGCAGTCTGGCTGGGCACAAAATCACGAACCACTCAAGCAGGAACAAACTTTATTTCTAAAACTCCCGAGAAAACCACGCACATGGCCTTCTTCTGGGACACACCACACCAACCAGCAATCCCTCCTCCGGAAATCCCTCCTACCGAACTTCCCCAACCATTGGGTACTCTCGGGGGAATCCCGCAAGAGCTCCAAAGTAGCAGGCTGAGGCGGACAGCAGGGGTCTAATATCTAATTGAATGCACATCTTAACAATATCATTATCATCTCAATGGCTTGCTGGCATCACCTTTCAAACAAAAATGCCATGCATCATTCCTACTGGCTAAGGCTCTTAGCAATAGTGTATAGGGTGGGAGGAAGTATATAAAATATCTTCAAACTATGTATCTTTGACCTCCCCCCTCGGTGAGTAAGCAGATAAAGACACCTTTAACTAAGGAAGTGTAGTCATGCCAGAAACTCAGTTTGGAAGCAAGGAAGGAAGAGGCCTTTTAAAAGTGGTTATTAGTGATTTATGGGCTTCTCTGCTTATAGAAATGTTCATTTTCAAAGCTAAGCTCAAATGCTAACCTCTACCATGAAGGTGATCTCATGCATCAATTATTCTTCACCAATTCTTTAGTTCAGTTTAAGCAATGCCTTGAAAGGGAAGCTGCTTTCAGGCAGCTGGGAGACGAAAAAAGCCCCTCAGTAAAAAGCAATTGGTTCTCCCATGAAATCACCCGTCATTAGGGATTTTTAGAATAATAAACAAAGAAAACCTTCATTCCATTTCTTTCAGCAAAACCAAGAAGGTCCATTTGGTGTTTTGTACCATGCAAGAAATGGAAGCAACAAACAAGATGCCCTGTTTGAGGGAGGATTAGGTCTAATGAAGAGTCTGAACTGTACAATGTGACCAACTCATGCCATGGAGGAAGCACAAGGTCTAGACAGGTGATTAGCTCTGCCCTACTTATTCTCCAATACCACTGACCTCATCTACATTTCATCATCATTTCAATCCAGGTATATTTGGATTCTTTGAACATGCCAAGAATTCTTCTACCTCAGGGCCTTTGCACTTCCTAATTCCTTTGTTAAGTCTATTCACACAGGAATCCACAGGGCTTACATCCTGTTTTCATGCAGGACGCAACACTTATATCACTCATTAGAATAACTTTTTCAGACTACTGGATATAAATTTGCACCATCCCTCTTCATCACATTTCTCTGGACCTTCTTATAGCTTATTCTTCATAATTCTTAATATTTTTGTTGTTGTTGTTGTCTGACTCTCAAAAGAACGAAAGCCCCAGGAAAGGAAGGACTTTTTTTTTAACCCACTGCTAAATCTATGTAATTTTAAAGAGTTCCTGACCCTCAGTAGACTTTCCACAAATATTGACTGCATAAGTAAATAAATGGGAAGAGATGAAGTGACATTCAGGAAAGATTTTACAAAGGTAAACAGAATTTAGAAGAATGTAAGGAATTGCTTTCAACAAAGTAGGTAGAGTTTCATTCAAAGACAGAGAATTAAAACCACATGGCTTGTTTAAATAACAGGAGATGGTGTGGAATTGGTGGGGTGTAAACACTTCCACCTTTTCCTTGAGGGAAAGTTAATTGCTTACCACCCTCTGTCTTTCTCAATAAACTGAGAGCTTTTTAAGGGCAATCCTGTTTTACTCACGTAAACAGAGCAAGTACCAATAGACTGTGGAATAAAGAAACAATATTTATTCATTAGAAAACACACAAAAAAAGTCTGTTCATTGATTTGTACAATCAAAATAGATTTCTTTCTGTTGAAAAATGAGTATCCCACTTGAAACTTGTAGAATTAAGGGAATCTTAGAAATATCTAATTCAGCTTTCTCACTTTGTAGGTTGATTACCAAGGTCATACAACCAACTGGTTAAGAACTGGAATTCCATTTTTAACACAACCAATGTCATCTTGAGGCATTATTTATCAAAATAAAAACTACCCATTCTTATGATCCAACTTGAGGAAACACTTGGATAAAACTTCAAGAGACCACAAGAATCTTTATTGTAGGATTTCTTTCTTCTGCCAAAAGATTTGAATGCAATCATGTGCATCAATAGCGAAGTAGCCATACTCACTTTATGATAGCCATGCTACAGATTTTTATCAGCTTAAAAAAGGACACATACTAGGACTGGGGTTGTGGCTCAGCGGTAGAGCACTTGCCTAGCACATGGGAGAGGCCCTGGGTTCCATATTCAGCACCACATAAAAGTAAATAAAATAAAGGTTAAAAAAAAAAGGCAGGGTACATATACTAAAATTAAAATGATCGTCAAGACTTTAGTAGGTTTAAAAAAAAAAGAGCAAGTCACAGGATGTTAAGAGTACTATACTATGCCTTTTAAGGCTCCTCAGCTTCAAGTTCTTCCAACAAGGCACCTGAAGTAAATGTACGAAAAAATTCAGAACAATGCACAACAAACAAAAGGGTGACCTCTGAAGTTGAGGGTAGTGGATAAGGCGGTCTTTGACCTCGACTTCAATTATTATTATTTTTTAAACAAGGGGAATGTATTTTTCATGACAATTTTTCTTCGGTTGGCTTTTTAAATTAATTTTTCGAGACACCAAGTGTAGATGATTTCTTCTCTAATGAGCAACTTTGGCCCGACAGGTGACAGTGACGATTCGGTATCCAGCGTGCAACATGTCAAGAACGAAACAAAAAGCCTTTAGGAAAACTTAAGTAACTAAACGGGACGTCAAAGCAAACAGCAGCAGACAGAAAACACACAATGGAGTGGCAAAAGCCCAGAGCGATTGGAGGGAAGGCTGGGGGAGGGGAACCAAGCGGACGCAGGACGCCCGCGAGAAAGCCACGCCGAGGACGCCGCGGGCCTCCGTCGGGGCGGGGCCGACTGCATTGCGCATGCCCAACCGGGCCCAGGTGCAGCCGCCGCGGAAGCCCAGCCACCTAGAGACGCCGCGCCGCTTAAGTGCCGCTGTGCGTGCGCAGGCGGGCGGGCGCAGGAATCTTCATCTTTGCCGCCTTCGCCACCGCCTTCCCTGGATTTGGGTCTCGTGCTTTTTTGGTTCGCTCACCTCTGGGTTCGCGCCTGTCTCGCGCCCCGGGACAGCGAATCTGGGGAAGGGGTTGGAGGGGGCTGTTGATCGTCGTCTTTAAATTGTGAGCGGGGGCGGCCATGTCGGCCGGCGAGGTCGAGCGCCTAGTGTCGGAGCTGAGCGGCGGCACCGGAGGGGATGAGGAGGAAGAGTGGCTGTATGGCGGTACGGAACTTCCTGTCCCTCTCTCCCGGGTCTCTCGGGCCTCCCCTCTCTCGGCCCGCAAACGGCCGGCGTCTCGGTCCCTCGCGCCGCCGCCGTGGGCCTCCCTGGGAGCCTGTCGGGCCTGCGGAGGCCGAGCTCGGCGTGCGCGCCCCCCGCCCCGCGGCCTCCTCCGCGCAGCCCCGGTCCTTGACCCCCTGTGCACCACCGCGGCGGTGGAGGACGTGGGACCCGGGCCCAGCTCGACTGTGAGTCCCGCTCATCCGCCTCTTCCCGAGGCCTCCAGGCCGCCTTGCCTCCTCTCCCTTTATTCTTGATTTTTCTATCGATTTTGGATTGTCTTTGGTGCATCTCTTGGTGCCTTCTCGTCCCTTGCTTTTAGAAACAGTCATTGTGTAATGATAGCTAAATAAAGTTAATGCTGTGAAACTAATGTCTTGTTTCTTGATGGTCAGTTTGTATGGAATGCACCTGCAAGGGTACCTCCTTGTCTGAAAGTCATACTTTAAAATTATTATTTAAAAGACAGGAAAAAAAAATAGAGATGGAATGAATACATTATGGCCCACAAAGAAAATCTCTGTCTCCTGTGTTAAGGTGAAGTTTTTTTTTTTTAAGAGATTACTCTTTAATCCACATCATAGAAGTTCATGACCCTTGGGTTTATAATTTCCGGTGTCATCTCATGTATTTTCTTTCTCCTCAAAATAATGCATCTTGTACTTTTTGAAGAGGACTTATTTAACATCTGGTTTTAAAAGTCATAATCCTTGTCTGGTAGTGACTCCAGATTTGAAACCAAACATTTGTTCCTTGACTAAAAAGTAAATTCTCTATTGCTTTAGAAGAGTACATTAAATCTGCATGTTGGGCACCATGCAGCTCCTCAATGATGTAAGTTTGATAAACTTGTAAAAAAGTACATTCTTTTGTGGAGAGATTTAGCTTTAATACTTTGAAATGTGAAAGTGTGGAATTTCTTTTATGAAGATCTGGAAATCTTCAGTACCTCTTAAGCTTATTTTTATAGCAGTAAAGTCTGACTTTTTTTCCATGAAAGACGTATCTTGTTTAGTGATTATAAGGTGATCTAACTTTGGATATGCTTATAGGCCCATGGGACGTGCATGTGCACAGTGATTTGGCAAAGGACCTAGGTTAGTGCTTGTGATGATCACTTCAGATTTTCATAATACTGCTTTCTTTAAGCTTGGTTTATTTATTTATTTTATTTTATTTTATTTGGTAGACGAAAATGAAGTTGAAAGGCCAGAAGAAGAAAATGCCAGGTTAGTGAAATTTCCTGCTGATGCTTGTACAGATTGTGTGCTAAAGTAGTTCTATCAACAAATTGTCAAGGTTGTTATGATTATTAGCTTGACTATAACATTCTGACTAAAGGTTGGAGGATATTCAAGACCTTGTCTTACACTAATTCCATCTTATTTGCTAGTAGCTTACAGGATAGTTTTTAAAGTTGGGATTTGAATACTTTTTAAGTAACTTAAGTGAGCTTAATAGTGGTGTATACAGCATAATCACTGCACTATTGAGGAAAATACTTTAACATTTAAAGAAATTATGAAAATTATTGCTTTTATAATATTTTTTAAAATTTCAATGTTTTATTTAACTTCAAAATAGAATTGACAAATTTTTGGTAAGGTTGATTTTCTTAGTTAAATTATCAGGAAGGTATAAATAACATTTGTAGAATATATATGGGGAACAGAAATTTACTCCAAATTTCAAAGCACCTCATATAAGTACATGGTTATACTGACTTTACTCTGACTGTACCTTAGTACTCTAAATCATGGAGGGAATAGTTTTAAAAAGAGCACTTAAGGAATATTTGGATTTTTAAAAAGTAAGGAAATAACTACCCAGTAGGATGGCTATAAAACAAAAAGATAAAACAAGCGTTGGTGAGGATGTGAAGAAATAGGAATCCTCATTGTTCCTTATTAAAATACCTCTGAGATTATAAAATGGTCCCGTTACTTTGACAGTCTAATGGTTTCCTCAGTGAAACAAAGAGTTACCAAATGATCCAGCATTTCCACTCAGAAGGTAAAATATACATCCACACAAAAACATGCATGTGAGTGTTCATAATAACAGCCTTATTCATTGTAGTCAAAAATTGGAAACAATCTAAGGGTCCATAAACTGATGAAATGATAAGTTACATGTGTGTACCCATATAACGAAATACTGTTTGACAGTGAAAAGAAATGAACTATTGATATGTTACAACACAGAAGAAATTTCACTTCTGTGAAACATTATGGCAAGTGAAAAAAAAAAAAGTCACAAAGGACAACATGTTACCTCATTCCATTTGTGTGAACTGTTCAGAATTAGCAAATCCATAGACAGGAAGATTAATAATTGTAGGCTTGGGGAAAATGGAAAGCAACTGCTGATACACAGAATATTTATTTTGGAGGTCCATGCACATGTTCTAGAGTCAAATAGTTATGATGATTGCACTGTGAATACGTTAAAACTCATATAATTATACCCTTTAAGTGGATAAATGTGAATTATATCTCAATAAAGCTGTATAACAAAATAGATAAGGAAGAAATGGAAGTGGAAATAGTTTAGGAAGAGCAGAAATTACAGTTTTTCCTCACCCAAATATACCCCTATATTTCACTCAATTTGTTATGTGAAATTTAATCATTTAGTTTTGAAATTTATATATTCAGCTCAATTTCAAATCCTATTCCCAACCACAAAATTGGGATTAATATATAGTTATGAAAGTGATTAAATATTTCTTTAATTAAGGAAGCAATTAGTTGATTACTGGGTATAGAGCTGTAATCAAATATAGTCTTCATACCATGGTTTTTTGTTAGTTCTTAGCTATAATTCTCAAAATTTCTTTTCTTTTTGAACTTTAACTCTAGTATACAGCTTGATAAAATTTATTGAAAGAATCCTACTTGCTCTTAGTGTCACTATTATAATTTATTCATATTCTTTATTAAAACTTCATTTGGAGAGCTAATGCATTTAATTCATCCTGTTGGGGATGGGACCTGACCATTTTAATAGTGGTGGTTAATTAAAACTTCTGAGAGAATTCCCTCGAAGAAAGGAGTTCTGCCAAAACTAGTATCTAGTTTGGTACATCACTGCATTGTTCTTCCTGGGTCCCTGCTATTGCAGTTTGCCCCCACTTCTTTGTGACTGGTTCATTGCTGAAGCCTCTGCCCTTAAACTGTTACAATACACTGTCTCTGGTTCTTCTTCTTCTTTTTTTTTTTTTTTT